ATTTCTGGATAGTAGGTATTTTTGCATAAAAAATATTTTCGATTGCCAATTTGTATTATCAAACTATAAACCTATGTATATTTTTAACGAAATTATATCTGGAAGGTCACAAAATAAAAATCAACAAAGAAAATAATGTCACGGAAAAATAGTAAAATAAAAGTTCATATTAAAATTTGTCTGAAAGAATTTCTTTTTGATACAGACTGTCGCATAAAGGCAAGTGAGGCAGCTTAGAGGCAATTAATATTAAACAGCCCCCTTCCACATAAGCCCCAACACGACCTAGTTTCCCGGCTAAGGTCCCTTTTTCCGTCCTGTCGCCCTACAATCGATTTTATTCATTCAAATTTTTTAAAAATTAATGCTGCTGTTTTACTCCTCCGATAACAAGGGTTCGTCTCTATAAATATGTATTCAGATAGGAAATCGAAGCTTGGAACAATCGATTTTAATTTTTAATTGCTTTACACCGACAGGTAGAGGTAGAATAAAGGATGATTCACGGTACACCGGACAGTACCCGAGCCGGGCACGTTCCGTAAAGTAGACACCGAGCCACGTCCGGACCTTCAATATATGCAACACCGAGTGGACAACGGGGATCATGTCCGTGCCGATTATATTCTAGAAAACAGTGTTGCCGCAGTGGTTTTTTTAGAATTTAGAATGAGTGGGAGGGGGGTTAATCACTTCGACCTTACAGATCCATTGTGTCCCCCTTTCTTGAATCATAACTCATCATACAGTCCCAGGGCTTTGACAAAAGCCAGTATCTGGGACGGTTTTATAGAGGGTAGTTCTCCATCTCCAATATCAGTCGTACCAAAATTCATGGCACGAATGGTTGTCGTCTCGGCGCACTCAGTGATGAGGTGTACTGGTGTTTCACCATCTTCCCCACAGAATCTGCATTCGCCGTTTCTTCTTAGTTTCAATCTACTGAGGTGTTCATTGAGCAGACAGTGTCCTGTTAAAAACCCCGTGACAATCCGAAGATTGTTCTTACTCAGACCCAGGAAGATCTGTGATTTTTCTTGATCATAAGCCCTCAGAAACTTCTTCGAGTGTCCTAGACCATTGCAAGATTTCCATTCCAAGTTGCGGATGGAATCTTCCAAGTTCTTGAGTTCCGCCTTGAGTTGGTTACCACTTGGAAAGCAGAACGGTTCTGGTCCAGTTAGTGGAGTGTTCGCTCCTTTCCTAGCTAGATTATTTGCTTTTTCATTGCCTTCTATCCCTTGGTGAGCAGGCACCCAGTGTAGGAGGACTTTATGCATTCTTTCTATGCTCTATCTTCTCTATGCATTCTTTGACCAATTTCGAATTGATTGATACTGAGTTGATCGCCTTTAATGCTGCTTGACTATCAGATAAGATGGCTATTTCTTGTTTCCGATAGTTCCTATCTAAGATAAGTTGTACGCATCTCTCGATAGCGTAGATTTCTGCCTGTAGGATACTAGGGTAAGTGTCCATTGGTTCGGAGTAATTAGCTCTTGGCCCAAACACTCCGATCCCTGTTCCCGTATTGGTTTTGGAAGCATCAGTATACCAAGTTATGGTATTGCCGCAGTGGTACATTTGTAACAAATTTGATACTTTTAATTCTATTTGGTACAGTGGTACTACGTTTTCAAATCCAGGATGATTTGGTACAATAATTATTTCCCACGCGCACCGAAAATGAATAGATATTTAATAATTATCGTCGTTGATATTACATTAAACGCGCTTACCGATACCATTTGGAGACAATCCGCATTAATTAACGACGTATTATAAACGTTGTAATGTCTATAGGGTTGCCTATATTAAATAACCCGAAGAAAAAACTTAAAAATTTGCTGTTTCTAACATGCTTCTATATTTGCGTTTTTTTTAATAAAATTTAAGTTTTCCAAGTATCGTGTGTAGTATTAGAATTACTTACATTTCTTCAACCTATACTTATACTTGGGTTTTCTGAATTTCTATTTCATGTTTTTCGTCTCGATTTGTGTCTTTCTCCAGGAAGTTTTTTATGTAGAAATTTATGAAGAAATTCACAACGACCAAACCGGTTAAAGTCATTTGCAGATGTATTTTGTTGTGCTTTAAAAAATTGTACCAAAGTGGAACATTTTTAGTTTATAATGTGGTACGCGCTAAAAGTTGGGTGCGGCAATACTGCTAGAAAACACTCGCTATAGGCCCGTAGACGAACGAAGTATTTAGCCGCGGCGGCTCATTTATGTTTGCCGCAACGGGGCCGGAACGTAGCGGATCCGAGGAAAAATGTACACCGACATTTCTTGGACGGGGCACAGACGCGTTCCGGCGAAGCTCGGACCGTGCTCGGCTTAGCATGAATGTATAAGTATAAATAACATTTGACAATGTTTGGCCGTGCCTTCACCGTCGCACGGCTCCGGCCCGTCACGGTGTACCGTGAATCATCCTTAAGGCGAAATATATCGAAGGAGTGCCGAAACACTCGGTCAATACAGGGCGAGTCTTAAATAAGTGCAAATATTTTTAGAGATGGTATACCTATTTCGAGTCCAGAAAACGCATCTAGGTGGTTTTTTCGCGACAAGAATATTTTGTAAATTTGGTATTTTTCGAAACCTTTATTGGATTTTTTTTTTAATTATCTTTTCACTTGAATTACAGGGTGCTACAAATTCGAGGTACGAGCATTGGTATCTCAGTAACCGTAATAGATACGAAAATGGTTAAATTGGGCCAAAGTTGCCGCCTTGAGATGTTCACCAAGATGCCACCAAAAAAGTTTTAAAAATTTCAAGGATTGCTGAGTTTTTTGAAAAAAAAAACCGGATTTTTTTGAAAATCAATTTTATTTTTTCCTATCGTTACTTTTTAGAAAATCAAAAAACTTGGACTTGGACTTATAGGAAAACGGCAAAAAGAAAATATATTTCTTTAATCGAGATCTACCAGCCTGAAAATATTTGCACATATTTAAGACTCACCCTGTATAGAGAATGTCTCTCCATGAACTACGTCTGTTTTTACTGTTTGTTATGATACGACAAATCTTTACTTTTATGTGTATTATTAATGTTATTGGAATACAGCAGTGCCCACTTCAACATTCTCGAAGCAATTCACAAGTATTCAAGTTGTTATAAATCGTATACTGTCTATTTTCTTTTGCTTGTCAAACTAATAACTGTAACGTATCGTTGTATGCCTTTTCGAGAAATAATACCCAAAACGTATAATTCTCATAATACTAAAAAATCTGCGATAATACAAATACAAAATACAATGCTTCTACCCTAAAACGAGCGAAAGCAGAGAAACGCATAAAAGCATACAATAAAAATCTCCATCGTTTCCTTGGGCTTGCATTTTTGCAGTCGATTTAAAATAATGGCGTGAATAATAATTTTCTGAGAATTTTGACTTTAAAGCAAGTTTATATTGGTCGGGATGGCATTTCCATTTTTATCAAAAAAGTTTCGTTTGTATGTTTTGCACTAGTTTTTGAAGAAAGAATCGTTATACTTGCAAAAAAGTTAGTTTTTTTTTTAAAAATATTACATAAAACCTTGTTTTAAAAGAAAATGCAAAGTGTTCCATTTGTCGAGTCAGTGGGGTGTTTTGCCATACAAAAGGTGGTGTAGTAGTATTTTTTTTATATGCTGTTAAGGTTTGGGTCTTGACAAAAAATCCAAGTTTTCGACCTTGGGGTGAGACCGCTCGAGCCGCCATCTTGGATAGAAGGTACAGTGACGAAAAGTTGAACATATTTTCCAAAAAAAAATAGAAAAACTCCCCAATTTTGTATTTTTCCGAAATTCTCGCTATTTTTACATAGGTATAAACACCAGCGGCTGGTGAGGTAGTGCCACGGTGCCACGGAGCGAAAAAAATATGTTATAAACCTTCATATGTCTCATTGAAATATAACGCACAACATAAAAAAATGAAAAATAAGGTAGTGTCATGGCGATTTATTAGCGTTTTCTTTTCTTTGATGATCCGGGTCGGTTATTAATAACGTTTTGAGTATTGTCTGCGGTGTCATCGTAATCGGTGCTTATGGGAATATCAAAAGGCGTTTTCTTCCATTGTTAAGTCTTGGTCATCTTCGTCCTCAATGTCGATGTGAACCTCCGGAACATTTTCGCATGACTGACCACTGCAGAAGCCAAATACAACGGAACACTTCAACCTAGCTTTCCTGCAACCACATGCTGCGCCGCATCCTTTTCTACAAGTACATGAAATGAATTTCAATAAGTTGTCAGGTGCTGTTTGTTTTGTCATGGTGAGTGGAACAAGCCCATTGCTGCCCAGTTTCCAGTTGGCGTTGGTTCCTATGTAATTTAACAAATAAATAAAGCTGTCTCTTTAGTTGTCAGTTTTGAGTCAATATTTTTTAATTCTCTTTCGTGTTGATTGCTGATTGAATTGGAACCAGAAATGGTTCAAAACGAAATAAGTAAATTATCAACAGATATTCAGGCTGAGTCGACAAACGCCATATCCAAACTACTTCCATTGGGATTTAAATGGAAGTAGCTTGGATATGGCGTTTATTAATGGCGAATAACTTATGAAAAGGAATACAAACATTTTCAAAAATGGAAGCAATTAAAAAACGTGCGAGAAGAAATAAAGTTTTTAACCTATCCTCGCTGTTAAAGTATCATTTAATCTACCGTTGCGGTTAAAGTACTATTTTATCTACTATTTTTGATAGAGTTTCATAGAAACAACAGTTTCTATGGAAAAAAAAAGTTTTAATTTTAATATTATTTGGTATATTAAATTTTTGATTCTGCTGTTCATTAGTGTAGTTTGAGATGTTTGGTGTTGTTTAAATACATTTATGTTCCAATACAAAGCCACTAAATTATTTTACTTAACTTGATTTTCATTGGAACTTGGGACAGATGTTTTCATAGTTATAGTTTAGTTTTAGTTATTAAAATTAAACAAAATAAAAACAAACCTTTTTTTCTAATTTACATATTTTTACTTTCCAGGTAAACTACCTGAAATAATAAACACTAAACCCTAATAACAAACCTACTAACTTAAAAACCTTTAAAATCTAAACTAACTAAACCAACCATGATCTCGTTGAGAAACTTAAACCGACCTATAAAAGAGCTCCACTAAATCGGCACTAAAAACTCAATAAAAGCCAAACTTCCACCCGAGCAAAATGTTGATCCGGTGGAAAAACAAGGACAAAGACAAGGACAAATGCGAAAAGTCCTCGTCCTCGTCAGGACAGAAACAGGGATCGTCGTCGACAGCGTCGAAGAAAAAAAGGAAATTTGGCAGAGATGGAGGTAAATTTTGTTAGATTTTAACGTCTAGTTTGCTTTAAATTTTGCCTCTTTAAAGTATGTCCTTCGAATTTCATTAAATATTCTTGATATTTTGTGGTTGAATTCAATTAATGTCTATTAAGCACTTAGCTACACTAAAAAATGTAAATTTAAAAGTTTTCAATACAGGGTGAAAAAAAATGAAAGGGTACAAAAAAAAAGAAATACAGGGTGGTCTGAACTGTATTCCGGAAACTTCGGTATTATATTCTGCAGATAAAAATACGTAAAAATGTTGGTATAAATGTATGGTCCTAAAATTCTTAGTTTCGGAGATACAGGGTGTAAAAGTTTCATTTTTATTTCGATTTTTTCCAAATAGTTTCTGAAGGAACGTCACTATTTGGATGAAAATTGATTTCTGTTTTTTTTTACATGACAAATTTGATTTTGATGTCAATATGACTCTCACTAGTAGAGGGCGCCACCTACATATTATTAACTGGTTTGAGGAGTAATAACTTTTTGTGCCAAAAGTTCAACAAAAACTGTTTTATCATCATTTTTTCGAAAAAAAAAAAAAGTTTCCAAAATGATCATTTCAGTCAAATAACTATTTACACAACATGTTTATTTCTTGTTGTGTGTAATAATGACATGTATTGACCATTTCCATTCTAAATATCTTGAGAACGGTTGTTCGTTTTTTACCTAGAGACATTTTTACATAAAAAATCACAGAAATGTATATTTTTTCACTCAGTAGTTTTATGCAAATACAGACGAAAAGTTAATACTCTTCAAAACAGTTAAAACACATGTAGGTGGTGCCCCCTACAAATAGGAGTCATATTGACATCAAACCCAAATTTCTCATGTGACACAACTCCGAAAAAACCGAAATAAAAATGAAACTTCTACACCCTGTATCTCCCAAACTAAGCATTTTAGTATATATATTTATACAAACTTTTTAACTTATTTTTATCTGCAGAATATGCTGCCGAAGTTTCTGGGATACAGTTCGTACCACCCTGTATTATTCTTTCTTACCCTTTCGAGGGTTCTAAGTTTTCGAGGAGCATCTTAGGACATATGTTCATTGGAACCTTTTGTTTTATTTTTATCTTTATAGAATCTCCCACCAAAGTTAGAGGCACATTTTTTGACACCCTGTATATATCTTTCAAATTTTTTCAAATTCGAAATAAAAAAAATGTAAATAAAATTAATTTTAAACTATATTTTTTGCTACAGCTTAAAATTCAACATATTTTTATAGAACATAATATAATGCATTTTATTTAATACTAGCGTGTACCCGCGACTTCGTTCGCGTCGAATTAATCATTTGTAATGGTGTTGATAGAGCAAAAAGCAAGAATTGCCATTAACATACAAACTGGATAAAATTTTCTCACATTTATGTCAGCATGAGAAAAAACAATATGGCGATATTATTATATAACTTGGTAATATTTGAGGGGTAGTTTCATCTCGTTGGAATTTGACTTTCGAAAAATCCGTTTGCCAAAAATAAGCTTTTTACGTCAAGCAGTTTAAGCAGAATCGTGGTTAGGAAATTACCCGACTTTTTGGAACACCCTGTATGGTTTTTTTAAAAATTATGTAAAAAAACCAAATAAATTATGCTTGTCCAAACGTTTTCCCGAAAGACTAACCGTTTTTTAAATAACAAATATTGTAATATTTGAGGGGCGTTTTCACCCTCTTGGAATTTAAGATTCGAGGAACCCCTCCTTATCGAACCTCTACATCCCACAGTCAAATTAGTCCGTTTGCCAAAATTCAGCTTTAAACGTCAAGCAGTTTAAGCAGACTCGTGATTACTCAATGGTCATATTTTATGAAACACCCTGTATAAATTTATAAAAAATCTTAAAATATGTAAAACAACAAGGTTTAAGCAGGATCGTGATTAATCAATGACCAGATTTTTCGAAACACCCTGTATACATTTCTAAAAAATCTTAAAATATGTAAAATACAAAATAAAATATACGTGCGTTTTTTCGGAAACTTGACCATTTTTTAAATAAAAAATATTGTAATGTTTGAGGGGTGGTTTCACCCTCTTGGAACTGGAATTTCGAAAAATACCTTCTTATCGAACCTCTACACCCTAGAATCAACCTGTATGCCAAAATTGAGCTTCTTACGTTGAGTGGTTTGAGCAGGATCGTGATTAATCAATATGTCCGTCACTTAAGGATTTTATATATTAGTATAGATTAAATATGATTATTTATTTGTATGAATATTAAATGCATTTAAACATAATATTATTATTAATAATAGCTCAAATCCCCTATTAAGAGATTATGTTTTTAAATGTAAGTAATTTCCAAATTTTCAATACTTCAACAAATTTTGAATAATATATTTATGAATCAACAAAATAACAATAATGTTCAAAGGTAAATTATTAGTATTTGCTATGGATTTACCTCTGCAATTCAGCATATCCCTATAATAAACACAAAATATCTATGGCGTAGTATAGCAAAATCCGCACCAAATTTTGCTGCAGTGTTCCCATCATTTCGATCTAAAATTGGATGAATCCCAACAGCATTAAACCAGTGCTACGACCTCAATATGTCTCGCTGTTTATTATCTATATTTTTATGGCCAATACGGAAAAAAATCGCTGCTTATTGTCCCTAGATTCATTCGCCAAAGATAATGGGCAATATATACAGCCAGTTTATGTCAAATAAATATTATTGCTTTTATATTAAATTATTGAAACGATAAAGATACAGCATAAAATGTTATACAGGGTCCGGCAAAAGTGCGTCGGGCATCTGTAGCTCCTAGAATATGAAACTTGGGAATTTTGTTTATGTACAAACCTAAAGTATGTATTGTACTACTGTGTCAGTGGATCAGCATGTTTTTTTTTAATATGACACCATGTATATTATTACATTTTTGGCTTCCTTTCAGATCACTTCACATAATCCTAAGATATGGGTAAATATATTTGGATTATTTCAGAGTTACTAATAAATAAATAAATAAATTATATTAATAAATAATATTTTCTTGCCTTTAGCTGTGTATTTTTTCTAATTTCGAAAAATCGAAAGTAGAGAAAAAAAATAAAAAGTAAAAAGAAAATTGTTTTGCTTGTCGTAAAGGGGGGAACCAAGCTCCACTCCCACAACCGGTTTCTGGGCCTACCCTTCATCAGGTGGGCTGTCCAGGGGCTGGTTCTCACCGATACGGCAAGCAAAACTTCTTCTATATCAACAGACGATGTCGTAAAGTGTCGGAGAGATATTAATGCATCTCCCGTCAAAAGATGTTAAAGAGCGTTTTTCGGCCCACTCAAATATATATATCAAATGAACAAAATTCTTACAGCTTTAGTGTATATTAACAAATAATATCTTCTTGCCTTTAGCTGTGTATTTTTTCTAATTTCGAAAAATCGAAAGTAGAGAAAAAAAATAAAAAGTAAAAAGAAAATTGTTTTGCTTGTCGTAAAGGGGGGAAACCAAGCTCCACTCCCACAACCGGTTTCTGGGCCTACCCTTCATCAGGTGGGCTGTCCAGGGGCTGGTTCTCACCGACTCTACGACATCGTCTGTTGATATAGAAAAAGTTTTGCTTGCCGTATCGGTGAGACCCAGCCCCTGGACAGCCCACCTGATGAAGGGTAGGCCCAGAAACCGGTTGTGGGAGTGGAGCTTGGTTCCCCCCTTTACGACAAGCAAAACAATTTTCTTTTCATTTTTTATTTTTTTTCTGTACTTTCGATTTTTCGAAATTAGAAAAAATACACAGCTAAAGGCAAGAAAATATTATTTATTAATATACACTAAAGCTGTAAGAATTTTGTTCATTTCATAAAAAAATTATATTAACTTCTTTAAACAATTATTACAAATACAAGAACTGTCCTGAAATAAAAACTATCTTGGGTAATTTACTTTAGATAGTCTATACTTATTTTGCTAGAAATATAGTAATCTTAAATTATACAGGGTGATCTAAATTCTACGCCAAACTTTCTAAAATATAAAATAATTTTTCTTTGTTTTTTTAATGGAACACCCTCTATATTAATTTTTTATTAGATGGAGAAGTAAAAAATGAAAATTTTTTGCATTTAAAGTATTTCAAAATGTGGTTCCGCAGATGCACGCAGTATTATTTCATATGGCTTTGATAACAATTTACTGTAGAATATGCCATGTGAAATATATTTATTCATAAACAGTTTTTTTTTTATTTTAGTAGCTACAGATGCCGACGCACTATTGCCGGACCCTGTATATTGATATCTTGGGTCTGGTAAACATTAAGTACCGTAAAATGGGGTGAATAGAAACAGTTTCGTAGGCTATTAGCGATATACCGGTTGATAAAAATGTGGTATTATTTTCCCGAATATTTTAAAACATGGGTCTTTGTTTGTTCTTTGCGTATACATATAGTTTGTAAATTTTGAAAATATGCATATAAATATTAACACCCTCCACAAAGAAAAGCTAACCAAAGCAACCCAAATGCTCAAAAAAATTGACGTTAAGGTTTTTATCTATTCTATTTCCAACAAGGTGATTAGAAACAGATAATTATTACATATTTAAGTAGGTTTAGCAATAATTAACAATACATATAATATAACAACTTACATGTACCAGCTTAAGTATTACTTTAAAAATAAATATTTTATTTATAAAGTTTTCGCGCCATACAAAATAGGTGATAAATCGATCTCACATTTATTGATCAGCTGATTGACAGAAACAGTGCTGCCACAGATAAAAATATAGTTTTTACATTTTATTGTGTATTACCAATGATAGAAAAATTAGATATGTCGACTCTTTTTACTTTGAATATTTTTAATCGTGATTTGATTTTTTTCAGAAATTTTGTTTCTATTCACCCCTATGTTTCTATTCACCCCATTTTACGGTACCTCAGAATTTCGCAATCTTTATTTTTTTAGTCGCAAGCCCTATTGCTATAGAACAGTTTAAAAG